TTCTTGTCTCCGTTCTTGTTGGTCATTGTGTCCGCCTTTTCTCCCATATGTATCCCTTGTCTCCGGTCTTGTCTCCCTTCTTGTGGGTCACTGTGTCCGTCTTGTCTCCCTTCTGTTTCCTTTTGTCTCCTTTCTTGTCTCCCTTCTTGTTGATGTCTCAAAAAGTGGACTTGGAAATGCTTCGTTGTTGTCCCACCTGTTTGGGGCCTACGGTGGTGTAACATAGTACACATTTTCAAGTATGACACATTTGTGGTTTGGGTCGGTCCCTTGTGGTGCCGGTGGACTGCTGTGTTTGAAGTGCTGTGGACTGTGTGTTGGGTAGCGCCACCCGACTAACCAGAGGTTCCCCGCCAGGACTTGTTTTTCGACTCCCTTCTCATCTACTCATGTCATCTCATGTCACCCATGAGGAAAAGAAGGACCGAGCATTCGCTGCTCTTTGTTTTGGGCAGACCCGCCATCTCCGGCCGGGACGCCGACGCCATCTCTCCTCTTGGGGCCGTTCTCCGCGAGGATTGTGCTCCACGGCGCAGCGCACCGCGGCACTTTCGACTCCCACGCGGCCGGCGGCGTCAGGTCACGAAGATCCGTTGCCGCGCGGCGCAGTACGAGTTCCTCCGCGCCGCCATGAAGTACGGAGGCGACGGGGGGCCGAGGCGACCGGTAGAAAGGCCAGGCGGGGCAGGTAGGTGCAGGCGGGTGAGGCGCCGAAAAGCTTCAGAAAGGGCCTTGGAAGCACCATACATCAAGCAGTAGAGCCCTGCACTGGGCACTCGCCGTGTCTTCCGGTGAACACCAAGCAGACCGGCGCGGGCTGCTCGGATCGGACGAAAGTCCGACACCTTCGGTGTCGGACCGGGTGTAAGACTGGTTTGAAGGATCGGCTGGACTTTGGGAAGTCGGTGGGAAAAAAAAGGGTAAAAGAAAAAAAACAGTACTAAAACCATCTAAAACCATCTAAAACCTATAAGACAACGAATTTTCTCCTTTTTTCTCCCTTTTTCTTCCATTCCAGGGTCTTTGGCTTCCACCTTCCGACCGGTCGAGAACGAAAGGGGGCCGCTCAAATGGAGGGCAACCACGGGGTCGCTCAATGGAGGTCAGCAGCTTCCACCCTGCACAAAAACTTGGGACCACCTCGGCCAGTGAGGCAAAGAAGTCTTTTCTTTATAATTCTAAAACCATTATAAAGATAGGTGTTCCCTCCCTCCGCCCCGAAGACAACATCCTTTCCAGAAGCTTTGCTTTGCGGAGTTCCTTTCTTACCTCTCTCAGCCCTGCGTCCAGGCGCCCTTGTGCCGGGGCCCTGGAGTGTTTTTGAGGAGTCCATGTTGAACGTTGCGAAGCCGAATCTCCCGGCGTTGACATCCGGAAAATCGAACCTCTCGAGCACCAGTTGTGCCAGGCTCTGAGGAAAGGAGTTTTGGACGGTAAATCGCGCCATCGGTGATTTCCAGGAATTGTTCGAACTTCTTTTTCCGGTTGTGGTCAATTCCAGATCAATTCCACAGCATAAGAATAGATTGAATAGATTGAATAGATCTGACATCAATTTGGTGCACAAATGACCACACAAAACCATGCTGCTTAGTTTATGAACCAACCTTGCCTCCTGCCCACCCTTGCCTCCCAAAAAGCCTCCCAAAAATGGACGTGCAGGTGTGGTTTTTACACCCCCCGCATATCCGCGCGACGAGGAGCGCACACGGACCCGCCTCAGGAACGAAGAGGAAGATGAGGGCGACGAGACCGTCTATCCCTTCTCGCACCCCAGGCGGATCGCACCCGGGATCGGTGGTTCGGTTTTCAACACGGTGACGAAGGGGTGACTGGGGGAGGAGAGTGTAAACAGGTGGGAGGGTTGGAGCTGCAGCGATCGCTGGCCTGGTGGGACCAGCAGAAACGCTCTGAAACAGAACGGAGGGATGCCTGAAAACTGTCCTTCAGGTGATATAAGTGGTGGATGAAGTGTCAAAGGCACAGGATTTTCATGGATTTTCATGTGCCACAATCCACACAGGATTGTGATGTGGACGCCACAGGTGCAAATCTACAACCTTTCTGTGGTTACTCTAAATGTACTCCAATGTACTTAACACATGTTCCACACGAAGCATGCCCCCCAAAAAACGGGTAGAACTCCTACTCTGCCACGCCACCGTCGAGCTTTCTCTGAAAGACCGCTGTCTCGATGCGGTGTCCCGGTCGACGCGGGACAGCAGGTTCGATTGGAGCAAGGTTGTGAGCCCCGGGTGAGGGTGAGGGGGGCGAATGACGGCAGGGGTCATGGAGGGCGGCGCTCGAGCCGGGGAGAGTCCGTGGCAGGTAGGAGATGTGAGGATCCAAGACCCACCTTTTGTCCATGCACGAGTCCGTGGCAGTCAGGTTGGTTTAGAGTTCTCAAAGTGATCCACTGTTCCACAAGGCGTCCTTGTTGTCAGTTTTCAAGTCGTGAAACACCTTTGGATTGACCCCCCCCGAAGGTCATCCTCTGCTTGCCAGGCTCTGTTTGCTTGGCCAGATTCGAGAGACTATTCGAACACCAACAAAGCAGCGGTGTCCTTTTCGGCTTGGCGCCACCTACCTGCGAGATCGGGAGATCAACTCACACCTATATACAGACGATCGACCTTCTGACAGGAACGTGAACATGTTTTCCAACAATTCAGGATCTCTCTGTTTTCCAACGCACGCTTCCTGTCTGGCGCTATCCGTGGACGGATTCGTTTCTCAAATCCCTGGTGTTTCAGAGCAACGAGCCAACAGAAACCGCGGTGGCCAAGCAACCAAGAAACAAGCGAGCCAAAAACTCCAAGATCAGTACCCGTACCCCTGTTTTTTTCCAGCAGCCAACTGACCCAAACAACGAGATGGAACGAGCATGAAGAACCAAACAACTAGTCAGGCCCACTAGATGAACCAAAAAACACCTTCACAAAACAGGGTTCTCCGTTGCATCAGGTGGATGGCAGCGCCGAGCGGAAATGAAGGCCCGAACGGCTGTAGACGTCGAAGCCAAGGTGGAACCCGGGTGAGTTGAGAAAGACGAAAGGAGTGAACATCCTGATAAGATCTGATAAGTATATAGATCTTTTTCATCTCTTTTCTTGAAAGTCTCAAAAGTACTGCTGGTGCCGGGTGCAGTTGCACCGGTGCGGCTTTGGAAGCCCTTGCATGTGTGGAGAAGGCGCATTCCTGCTCTCCATGAGCCACCACTTTGGAAGCCCTCATTCTTTTCATCATGTCCCACATTCTGTGTAACTACTCAGTAACTACTCCATTGGGATGTTGTCCCAAGAAGCACCAGTCGGAGGGCTCGGAGGGCTAATAAGTATTATACACTCCAAGTTCATCTCACATCTCCATAAATCTAGTAGTTTTGCCTCGCACCTAGTCAATCTAGTAGTTTTTGACTTCATCTCCAAGCGCTGGTTGGCTCCTTTCCGACACTTACCTGCTGTGCATTGGGTGATCCTCCGGCTTTTTCGGACGATGTACAAAGCTTCACTCGTTTCGAGTTCCGTTTCGTGCGGCCCCGCACCCGCTCGGGTGCCGTTTCGTGCGTCTGTCCGCCGCCCCAAAAAAAGAGGTTCCGGGGCCCGTTTCAGGGCTCGTCGGGCGGTTGACCGGTGCCAAGGTAGGAAGATGACCTACTGAAGATTGACACAAAAAAAAATGACACAGATCAACAAGTCCCCACTTCCCACTTCGAAAGGTTTTTTTTTGTTTTATTTGAATGGAAGACAGATGCGACCATGGGTGTGTTTGTCCCTGCAACACAACCTTTGGACCGATTTAGCAATGCAAACTCCACTGTTCAACAAGTTTGGTAGTCCCAGAACCTTCGTTGTGAGCTATAGCCAACACGTTCTTGGTTGAGAAGCGCCTGTTCTCAACACGCCAGTCTCGCTGTTGGGCTTGAACGGCAACACCCAGTCCCAACCAGAAACAACTGGTTGGCACCCAATGTGGCTTGCTTGAGATCCTTTACATGGGAAGTGGCTGGGACTGGGGAAACATCCACTTGTTTCTGGTTGTCCTGTTGACCATGGAGGAATGGATGGTCAATGATTGAGGTGATGGCCGACATGGATCGCACCACCCGTCCTTGCAAAGCAACGAAAAACACATGGGTGGTGAAGCAAGTTCCACAAACGGCAACAACATCACCACCACCCCCACATCATGCCTGTTCAGGAAAAAGAGAACCAAGGACTCTTAAGAACTCATTTTTGTGACCCAAATTTGGGTGACCAAATTTGGGTGACACGGTGACCAGGTACCTGAACCTTGTAACTTCGCTTGGAGGCATTTTTGGTTCGGCCATCGCTGGGTGCCTTCAACCATTGCTGAAGGAGACCGGGTCCTCGAGGTACCTGAACACCACCCTGGAGCGGAAAGAGCAGTACTTCGACGCCCTGCGAAGCTACTTCAGCGGCCTCGTGGACTACGCGGCCGGCGAGGCCGGGGCATGAGGGATGTAAACCACATGCATGAGTTGGGCCGGGCCGGGTCTGGAAGAGTCGGTCAACAATGATCACCTTTTCGAGTATCCATTATCATCCACTGTTTGCTGGTAATGGGATATGATGTACCCCATGCATTGGAGATCTTTTTCGAGTTTTTTTTTTCACATTTGGGCTGTTTTGGGCATCTCTTTTCTTCAACACTTCGAACAAATGATGGGAACCTCACTAGGCAACTTGAATGGCCCAATACTTACGTACCGTTTCCTTAGAACCCATTTGACCACCAATCGGCATCACGTCGTATGAGCTCGCAATCGTCTTCGTTGTTAACACAGGTGTGTTCTTTCGCGCCTGGCTGGGGGGAAGGCCGTGGAAAAGAGTCGGCCCTGAAGTCCAGGCCCAGCCGAAAATAGAGCAACAACTCCGCCAAACAGATGCCCTCCAAACTGTGGTGCGCCATCTCCGGCCATACTGGCCATACTTCACCATTGAATTGCGGTCAGCTTGGTGAATGTTCTCTGATCGATCTTCCGACCTGAGTGATCACTCCGGTAGATTCTTGGTGGATGGGGGATGGGGTTTGGGGATGGTTTGGGGATGGGTTTCTTCTTTGGTTCTGTCTTTTCGTCTTCCAACGCCCCGGACCCCCGGCGCTTCGTCTCCGGCCGGTCACGACATGTGACGACCCACCACGGCCGCGGTTTTCACGAAGCGGCGGGTTTTGGGCTGGTTTGGTTCGGTGGAGCTGGGATGGGTCGTTGGGGGAAGCTCGCCTCGGTTAGAGTCGAGAGTCGAGAGGCTTGCTACCTTCCGGAGTTCACAGCGCGGCTGGTCCTGCATGGCAGCCCAGAGACCAAGAGCTCCGGGTCACCTAGTCCCACGAGTAGGAAGACATGGAGTGTCCACCTTTCAGGAGGGTTTCTGTGGGAAAGCCTGGGAGTTTTGGGGGGCACATTTCTTCAAACCAGGCAAAAGGCGGAGGCTTTTCCACGACCCGCCACGGTCCGAGCCGGTCCGAGCCGGTTGAGAAAGGTCCAGGTTGATGACTGGAAGGCATTTCAGCATTTCAGCTTGGAGTTGCGAGAGCCGGGTCACATGATCACATTGTTCCATTGTTCTGTAAACAATTGTAAACACATCACCAACACCGCGGAGTTCGGTTGTGGTGACCAGTTCGCGTGTGTTTTGGAAGCCCGTACTTTTTTCCATCCAATCACCAGCCCTTCGTGCTGGCAAAGGTCTTGTTTGTTTTCCCTTGTTCTTCCCATTGAGTGCATGGCACCAGCGATGTCCCCCCCCAAGTATCATTGGCATGAAGCATGAACGAGCCTGAGTTTGGAACATGCTCATAAGGTGAACTGAGCATCCCAGAATACCGGCCCTGTGTTTAAAGCGTCCACGAAAAAGCCCTGCATCCCAGCTCCTTTGATGGGTGTGATGGGTAGATTCAGTCAAGTTCCATCTCCAAGATTCTTCATTTGTTCACATGCGCACACACAAAGGCGGCCGAGGTACAGTAGAAGGGTCGCTTCAGGGCTTGGCGACTGATCGGTGCACTGCTTCAGAGTTTCGGCTCTGATTTTTCAAGCATGGCGATGTGATCGTCGTTTTGGCGCTGCTGGAGTCCAGTATTCCGACCGCTCAGATTCGGACAGCTGGGGAGACCAGATGATGCCATGCCAGCTCCACGTCCCCTTAGATGATGCACCCTCTTCGCTGCTGCCAAGTATCCGCGAAGAAGAGGAATCTGAGAATCCAGAGCACACCCACAGGCGTGTCGAGCGCCAGAAGAGGAGGCAGGGTTAAAATCTACTGAAGAGTTATTACGCAGGGACAGGATCCGAGAAGCAATTTGAAACTTTACGTTTGTTTTGGGAGTGGGGGAGATGTTCTATTTCTTGGGTCAGCAGCCTTTCACAGATTTCCAGGCAACGGGATCAGGACGATTTAGAGGATTTCCTTGCGAAGCACCAGTTTCCTGACGTCAACATGCGGCAACGCAAGCAGCGAAGCCACCGATGCGGTCGCCTCACTTGCCTCTTCCCCGAGCAGGAAGAGCTGTATCCGATTCATGCTGCGGCAATGGAGGGACACTTGCCTTTGATTGATTCACGCAAATTGAAGGCATTCAGAAAGAGGATGCAAACCAACAAATCAGCACCATTTCAAACCATTTCAAGATACTTAAAAGGAACGTCACGTGTGTTCCTGAAAGGTGTCTGATAGCTCAACGGAATGCGACCTCTCGCCCGCAACGGAATGCGACCTCTCGCCGAGTCTCACGCCAGGAAATCTGAAGATGGTGGTGCTGTTGGTCCGCGCTGGGGCGAACCGAGAGCAGGAGACCTCCCGAGGGCGCACCGCTTCGGAGCTCGTGGAGCAATCCATGCGTCAAGACGCTGCCGATGGGGCTTCGGTCTCGCGAGTGGTGAACTCACGGCGCATTGAGATCTTGCAAGTTTTGGAGGGGACGCACCTGGGCTGAAAGGTGGAGCATTTTCAGGTGACCATTGGGAGAAAGACATGTCCCCCCAAAAAAGGTGATTATATAATGTTGCGCTGGGCCCGCCTTGGCCCGCTGGTCATTGAACCAGCCATGGTCCGACCTTTTTCTATGGCCCGACCTTTTTCTAGTCGAAACCGTGGCCTGGGACTCTCCAAAAAACGTGAAGTCGATCTTGCTTGGTCATTAGAAAAACTATTTTTGACCACCCGCGCTTCAACCAAAGCATCGCAGTCAGACACGACCCGATTTCATGCCGATTTCCGTGTGGACGATTTTGGTCGTGTGGAAGTGTTGCATTTCGTTGCGAAAACTTGGTCTGCCTCGAACGTGCTTTCTCCGGATTCCCAGGTGAACTTTGTTGGAAAGTGAGCATTTTGCGTGAAACGTCAGACGTCGCCTTCGGTTTTGAGTGCGCACGCAGCGTGCTTGTTCAGAAGACTGAGATTTTTCGCTCACAAGCGTCATGAGATGATCACATGGCTGCGAATCCACAGATGTTTCTGTATGTTTCCGTCAAGCATCGCTTGTGAAGCCCGGCCCCAGAGGCGCGAATGGCACGAAGATAGCGGCGCCGCTTACGGTGCGCGGTCAGCAGAGCAACCGTCTGGGTGTGAATCAAAACCGGCAAAAAGCTGAGGTTCTTAATGAACATGTGGGTGAACCTAATATATACATATATAACATAAATAAATAAATAACTATATATATATATACCAAGACCCCTTATATAAGGGGTTTCTATCGATAGCCCCGAAAAGAGGTTAGGGGGATTAAGGGGGGTGTCCCTGGTATGGGTGTCCTTTTTAGCACAGGGAGAAAACGGACACGGACACGAGTCGAGCCCCCAGGATTTGGTGGGGGGGCCATCGAGCCACCAGAAGAGCTTCCTATGAGCTTCCTATTTGCCACGAGCGAACATGGCTGTAGATCTTCTCGATGGTTTGTTTGGCAGTTTAATTCTATTCATCTGATTTGATGGTTTATGTTGGCATTGTCTTCTTTCAATTCATCTGCGCCTGGGTGAGGAACATGTACGGTTTTGATGAGAATCCCGCGATTGCAAGAAAGGTAGGGGGATTGCCCGCCAGCCCGCAGCAGTGCGAGAACGTGAACAATCGGAACCATATTCATATGTAACATATGGACATATTAGTTACTATATATATATTATATCGATATCTTTATTGACAAGTATAACTATTTGTACAAGAGACCTATATCAAGACTCACGCACTGGGCGGCAAGGGAAGCCCCTTGAAGCAGTGCCTGTCAAGCATGGCTTTGTGGAAGACGCGGCTCCAACTGGAGCACTTTCCTCGACCACCTCGCTCTTTCTACACAGCCATGTTTGTTGCAGAGTGACAGTCCCTTCCTCCATCTGCCTCCCTCCCTTCGCCCCAAGGGTAACCACTGCACACTTGTAGAGTTCACCCCAGTTCACCCCTTAATGTTTTCTCAAAAGCTTGGGGCCCTATCCCACGCCGCACCACTTGAGCCCTATCCCGGTCGCCGCACCAGAAAAGAGAAAAGAAGGGGTGGCAATGGCAAAAGAGGAAAGGGATTCCACCTGTTCCTTTTCCGCGCCATGGCGCCAGCGTATGAAGACGGCCGGTAGCTCCGAAGCGGGGCTGGGCCAGATGCCACCGAGAGAACGATCCGCCGAGCAAGACTCCGGGAGCCAAATGGCAGCTGAATCATGACCTTCAGAGTAGGCAAGGATTTCACTGTGAATGCCTTTCCGGAGTGAACGTCTTGAATAAGATGGAGCCAAGGTTGTTTTCTTTCTCTTGAGAAGAATCATTTCAGTCATCGAACCAATCACTTCATGCCCAGTTGAGTGAGTTCGTTCTCGTGGGTGTCTTCTTTTTCAATCCATGCTGCTTTGATCATGGATAGACCCAGTTGACGACGTGACCTCCGCGTCACGACTCGAGGAAAATGACAGAGTGCAGGGTGTTCGAAGCAGTGGCCGGAACTGGGAAAAGACCAAGTGCACCACTTTCTCTCGTTCTGACCTTGAGGAAGGTCTCCAGAATCTCCCCACATTGGGTTTGTTTGGAACTTTTCTATTGGGAGGGAGGGTTCCCCTTTTTCGTCACCATGTGATGAACAGGTGCTCACTGAACTTTCACCCAAAAGACACTGAACTCGTTCAAGGTAGAAATCAACCCTTTCTCCAGATGCTGATGGGTTCTCCTCCAAAACGATAAGAGCTTCTTATCGATTCGGTGTGAAACGGGTTGGTGATGTTTGATCTCTTCGGCATTCGCATCTTCCATGTCCATCTACTCCAAGAGTGTTGATGTTCTGGATTTTTCCCCGCTGAAGAAAGGACTTTGGAGCCGGTGCTCAAGAACTCAGGGGAAATAGGGAAATAGGGAGACCTCTCAGTTCGACCCTCTGGAAGGTTAGTCTACTCATTGGTTGGAGTACCTTACCTTGAAGACCGATTCTGCACAGGTTTTTTCCTCAAGGTCTTACGGTGTGTGGATCATGTCTTCTGGAAGGGTGTGTGGAAAAGCCAACGTGAAGCCATCTGTCACACATGCCGACATGAAACGAACGCTAAAGCTCACCCAAAGAAAAGCCCTAAACCTGGTCCTGCACCGGTCTTGAATCCCTTCCTTCCGTGCTAACCGAAGAGACCACAAGACCAACCACCCACCGGTCGCTCTTACGCCGAACCTCGCCCCTGCGCAGACCTGTTGCGCCCAGGTTCCGGCAGCAGCTGGCCAATGCGCAAGCGGTGGAGGGCCGCCAGTCGGAGATGCTGGCTGGAACCATCGAGGCGGGTGGGATGCCAGGTGTAGGATGTGCGGCACAGCGACCTGTGCTTGTTTGTCTAATCATTTGTTTTGGGGGGGCAGGCGCAGGTCTTCACATCAAAGATCTTCCGAAGTGAAATTCCCCACTGGGCTTTGCTGGTTGGGGACCGTTTTCAGTTGCATGTTTCTTTGGTCCTGACATGCCACTGGACTCCGACATTGTGGACCACCATCTACAAGCGACGCCTCTGACAGCCCGATCTGCGCTCTCAAGCGAGTCTTGCCCTTTCATGAAACTGACAGCCGAGTGACTGTAACCCCTCGGCATCGGGCTGACGAACACCTGCGCTGCGCAGCCACTTCATCCGCTGCGTGTATCGTCCAGCCCGACAAAATGGCAGACGTGTGGGGAACCCCTCCTCGTGGGTTAGGCCTTCCTCGTGGCCGAAGAAGGCTTGCTGAACGACGGGAACGGTGCGGGGGCTTGGTGCGTGGAAATGCGGAGGCAATGGGCAGATGAGGTGTCGGACTCAAACAAAAAGGACATCAGATCAGATGAAGGTACCAAGATGCAGTACGATTATGCTGCATCAGACCCTCACAAGCAAGACTGAGACGATGGCATCGTGCGGCATCGTGCACCTTTTTTCGAGTGGAAGGTCGATGGTTTCAATCCCATTGGGCTGAATCATTTCCTTTAACTCGTTCCTTTTCGGCGTTGTGGCCCGAGTTCGAAATACACGAAGAAGTCACACTTGTTTTGTTCACACACCAGTGGTCGGTTTCAAGAGAGCCTCAGGAGCCTTTTTCTTTTAACCATACGGCATTGGTGCTTCAGTGCTCCAAGTGGTTTTGCTTCTGGCGTCACGTGGAGGGCGATTTGCCTGACGGAATCACTTCAGGGAGGGTCAAGTTCATACCCCCTCACCTCCATCAAGTTGCTTCGCCTCATCAAACGCCTTTCCCCTGGAAGCCATTCCGGCCTTCCCCGGGGCTTCCCCCGGGCGAAACGTCCAACTGTCTTCGATGTGACCGGAAACTCGGTGCCGCTTTTGCGGACTTCGGCCTGTCGAAACCAATTGCCCTATGCAGAAACCGAAGAAGACACCGACTTGGAATCTGTTCCACGTTGAGGTTATCGATTCGACTGATTGGTCATCTCAGGAGGTTTTCCTCCCACTTTGAGAGGGCTTGCGAGTCTTCCCCAACAAAAACAGATTCAACACCAAGTCAGTTTTTTTTGGGGGGAACCTACCTTTCAGGTCAGATTTGATGTCTTGCATGAATTCCCTGAATTCCCAAGATTTGTGTTGGCAGCTTGCGTGACATTGAGCAACTCACGATTTCTTCTACATTTCATTTGGGCGAATACATGATCTGGGAAATGCAGCTTCACACGGATGAACAAAAAAAGTGTTGAAACATGGGTGAAATCCATGTTCCATCGTCTTCCAGGTGCCTGTCCGTTTCTTGCTCCATCTTGCTCCTATTTTTCCACACTTGCCACTTTGGTTGGCCAATCAATTCTTTTTGATGGTATTCCAAAATTGCAACCCACCATGTTCGAACAACCTCAACTTGGCATCCGCCCGTCACACCATCGTCGAGCACGTCGTCGCCAGGTCGGGACGAAAGCCCCTCGGGGCTGTGCTATGTGTCCACGCAGAATTTGTAGGGGGCACCTGGAGAATGAGGGCGCGACCGCCGTTGGTGCTCGGTGTGTGTTTTGGGCGTGTTTGGGCGCCGGCGTGGTTGAGGTGGGTGGGTATGGCGACAAGAGGAGACCTCCCGGGCCAGCAGGCCCGGGGCCCACCGAGAAGCGTAACTCCTTGTGTGTTGTTCCGCCCAAAAGGTTCGGGGACGGCTGTAGGGTGTGGATTGCGAAACAATGCGAAACCTTTCCAGTGGCACACCTTCCATGAAGCCAACTCACCATGGTGCAAGCTATCTGTGAAAACAGCGTCACCTGCTGGTAGGGACTTGCGCTTGAACAACAAACGCTCCGAACAAATCGGTGCTGTTTCTCTTCTTCCAAAAGGTCTTTGGGAGGTCTCCATATTTTAATACACACCTACATGGGGTTGGTCTTCCGGAAAAAGTCTGGTCTTCCACCACCACGGGAAGACCAGAGTCCCTGTTCTCTGTGATGAGCGTTGAGGAAGATTCCATCAGAGCCTTGGTCAGGGTGCTTTTTTCTTGTGGCAACATCCGAAATTCCAAGACAGTGTATATATATATATATATGTATTAATATGTACATTATAGTGGGTTTCATAGACTCAGCCGCCCCCCAAGTGGGGGGGTGTTACACACATGTGTTATCATATTTTGATAAATATGTCTGGTGCATCGAGCGATTGGAGCAAGCAGATTGGAGCTATGTTCAACCGCCAGCTTCTTGTGGCAGTTACCTCTTTGGAGTGCCTATTCGTGAGATTTTACAGGCCCAAGTGACCTCAAATGCTGATCTCAAAGGGTCACTTTGAAGGGTCACTTTTGCGAACGGGTCCAGTATTTTATGTTCCGCCTTTTCAGACGCAGCGCTTCTTTTCTTTTCAGAAGCGCCACAGAAGAGAAAGAGAAGTTCACCCCAAGCGGCGGAAGATGCCGCCCAAACCTGTGCCACCCGTGCCCGAGGTTGGAGCATGAGCAGTCCACCCGCAGCCGGAGCTACAGCTACGGATATCTGCTCGGGGAGGCGAGCTGT